AGGCACCTGATTAAAGCTGCTGACCTGACCCTGGGGACAGCAGGTTGTTAGCTGACCAGGATCTACCCTGAGAACCACACTGTCCTCTTTGACTATGGGCTGTATGAGTGTGGCAGCAGATTGCAGGTAATGAGTCCTCCATACTTGCTAGAAGCTTGGGCTGTGGACTGTTCCTCACTGTCACCCTGGCTCTGATGCTGTTGTAATGGGGTGGGATGTTGTTGGTGTCTTCTGCTTTTTCAAACTTGGGTTCTATCTTGTCTGGATTAGACTGTGTCCTAATCTTGTGCTGTTAACCTTTCAGTCTGGAACTTGTCTCCAGTTCCCCTGAGCTTCTGGATAAGCTTACAGTATTTTTTTGGCTCTCATTTTCACCCATTTTTTTTTTGACTTTGCCCAATTCTCACCCACAGTGGGGTGACTGTTCTAAACAAATTGCTCTTGAGGAGCTCCACACGTCCCCTTTACTTTGCCACTGGAATAACTGGGCTCCTTGGATAACTGTTCTGTTTCCATATTAGTTTACCTATCCTTACTCTGATTGCTCTGACTAATTTTGAGTCTCCTTGCTGTTGATCGATTCAGGTCGTGTACTCCCAATATGCCCTGAGAAATGTTGTTGGTTTGCTGTTGAATGAGGACCCAGAAAGATGGCTGCAATCCCCCTCCTTTTGGGAGAAATGGGGACCATGTTTCAAGTATCTCCACATTCCTGTTCCCTCAGAATATATGGAGTTTTTCCAAAGAAACACATGCATCTGTTTCACCAACAATGCATTCCCATCCAATTTGGATGTCCTTTATCTGATCATTCCTGACCTGTGGCATGATGAATACCTTGTTAAATTGATCCAAAATGATTAACCTGTGACCTATTGCCCCTCATGCTGGGTCTCAGTTTCTGGGAGGAAACAGCATCTTGACATGGAGCCTGTCCAGCTCCCAAGGGAGTTGTTGGAATTGGTTTAGTCATTGGCAATGATGTGTAAACGTACTATTTCAGATCAGTTCCTCATTCCTTAACCTGGTGTCTTCCAGATGACTGGAGATTTCCTGATCTACACCACCCACCTGACCCACATCCCAAACTATCCTGGATCTGTCATTGTGAGAACCAATGGAGCTGTCATTCCCATTGTGTGTCGTTATTTGAGGTGAGAGTCTTTGCTCTGTTATCAACATTATCTACAGCTGTTGTCTGACACTGTCCTAAAATGGCTGCCCTGTCGCTCCCCAGGAAGGGCAATGTGAGCAGTAACCCCATCAAGCCCACCTGGATCCCATTCAGCTCCACCAGGTCTGGAGAAGGGCATCTGTCATTCTCCCTGCGTCTAATGAATGGTATGTGATGGGTGGCTGGGGAGGGATCTCGTGGTGTCACTCACTGGGAGTTGCACCCACTGTCTCCAACCCTTGTTCTCTGTACTTCAGGTGACTGGCTGACAGAGCGCACTTCCACTGTCTACTCCCTGGGAGACCTCATTCACATTGAGGCGTCTGTTTCAATGGACAACCACGTGCCCCTGAAGCTGTACATTGACTGCTGTGTAGCTACACTGAGCCAAGACAAGGACTCCAGCCCCAGATACAGCATCATTGACTACAATGGGT